CTAGAGTGTTCATTAAGTATTGACTAACGCTGATTGGATGAGAATTAGCCAATTAGCATGCATCAAAACAATCGTGCATTGAGCATGCTTTAATCCAGTCTATGTCCCGCTAACGATAAAGCTTCAAGTTTTATATACTTAATGATTAGATGAAGTCATTTTAATGATGAAATTTGTTATAATTTGTGGCCTATGTGCCCTGTTAATGTATAACGTAAAGAAAATACCGCCAATTAGTGAGCAGTGACTTATCGATCGGATCAATGACGCGTAAACCCGTATGAACAGTCTAGAGTCCTTATTAGTTCTGTTTCCTGCTTAGCCTAGCCAGTTAAGTCCAGAACACAAATCCCAGTCTCTGTGATATGAATCATTTATTTTAAACATACTGGGTTTATATATCAACCAGACAGACCATAACGTAACATAAAATATGAAACATCACTTGTACAAGAATTAGCCAAGTGTGGGTGTGACTGAGGGAGATAGTAACTAATAGACAGGGCATAATTCAAGAATGGTAAATTGTATAATAATAGTCCGTAGGTCAAAATAAAGCTTGTGATAAGAGGGACATGAATATGAATAGTTCAGTTACATAAAAATTATATGATAAAAATATACGTATAATATTGTTCTATAAGTGGATCCCAAAAGTCACCATTCATTATTCGTATCGGGACATAACAAAATTTCAAACAAGTTACTTAGTATTTAATTGTCTATATTATTACACTCTGTAGTTGTGATAAGATAATTCAAAATGTGTGATCTGACTGATAGAAAGTCTAAAAATATGTCATTATATTGAGAGTCTATCGAATTCAATGTAAATTTAGTGTGTTTTTGTATAATGAGGAAAGACTTATCAACCTTGAGTATACGGATATTGTCTTATTGTGTGATGATACACAAGCTATGCAAATCCCACTTACTTGGTTGGGAATTAGTATATTTACATATGTCATGTGCCTCTCGATTTCTAAATTAAGAGTACTTTTATAAGATAAGAAGAAGCCGGTGCATGCGCTCACTCTTTGTGTTGAGTTGTCTGAAGTAGTGTGAAGTTTCGTGTATCTGTATAGCAGTGTAAGAAATGTTGTGTTGGTGTATTGGATGAAATCAATCAATGTATAATAAGAACCAGAGCAGATTATGCTTGTCTTTGCCACTTTGGAAATGTTTCTCTGGATGTTAAAAGTTCGGGACTACATCGCGTCAGTGAGAGTAGTTGTGCTTGTGAAACCTAACCTGTCCGAATTGCGTATGTTTGGAGATTTTGTTTAATAATCGTTATCTCTGAGGTATTGTTGAAACACTGTAAACAGTACGTCAGTGAAGTTGAGGTTAGGAAGTGTGTATTTGGGAAGAGTTACGATAACTTAATTGATATCACCATCGTAATACACAAGCTTTGTTACTTTGGACATCTTTTACGAATGTTATGTCTTTCAATTCCACATCGTGCGTTATTTACCGACACTGGGACTAAGCGAAAAAAGCGTAACACTTTTCAATCCATGACAGCGTCGCAGTATGGAAGAGATCTGCATACCTAGTTCAGGAAACGACCATTATATTCTCATTTTTTGTTTGTTATTGCTTTCACAAACCAACAACATAATGGTTATTTATTCTCTGAAGAAATGACTTACACTAAGCCACGAAACGTCAGAAAATCCAATTTTCTACTCATTGGGATATTACAAATATATTATTTTTATTTATAACAATCAACCCAATGCTCAATTTATTCGAAATTATCAAATCAAACCTTGGTAATGACACCTACAACAACATAATGTTTGAAAATCGAGGCAAATGAACGACATCTGTTGTTTGGACTCTGAAATCGGTCAGATGAAAATGTTAGCTGCTTCCAAACTTTTATACATGTTCGTGGAAGTGTTGATTTCAATCTCAAGACAAGTAACGTAATCACTTTGTTTAATAATATGCATATTCTGGAATATTGTATTCCGTGACTCGCTCCATTGAAACACTCAATTTTATGAAATGAGCTGTCATGATCGAGTCAGTTTATCGACTACGGAAAATAGATAAATATTAGAATGACTAGTACACTCTTCGATAAAATCATCAGAAATAAGTGAGCGACTCTTGTATTTTGGCGCGAAATTCCTTCAACGCGTTTGAAATGTATCAGTATAAAGGGTTAGAGGATACACAGGATGAAGTTGACATTGAAATACAGTGTTAATTAATGGTGCACACGATACTAAGGAGACAATGTGATTATATTCATGAGCATCTGCCGATAGCTTTGATAGGTAATTGAAGTTGAGCCACCGAACTCCCTATTAATAACCGAACACAACCCCTATTGCGCCTCTAGTCTTTTATGGACTGCCGGCACCTATTCTGTCATACAAAATCAACATACATACGCAACCAACAAATAGCAAATGTAATCAAAATAACACGAATAAGAGCTCCGACGCTGCCAGAATTACCATATTTACACTGACGAGAATACCTGGTGCATAATTTAAATTTACCGAAAGAGTATCTCAGAACGTAACACAAAAGTACCAATGATCGAATGTCCGTAATCAATCCCCCAGTTTTATCATAATTCTTTAGTTATATTATGGTGTGTGATAGTGAAAGTAAACGTGATTGGCCACTGAGTGTGGACAGACAGATATGCAGCTTCCTGACCATCAAAAATGATTTACTTTAATCTTACTGATTTTTGCTCCACATCCATTGTGTGGAATACAGTTTTGTCCAGCTCTATTCTTGGTCATGAATTGTATATCTGTTATGACGTGGTCTACTATGTATATGACACATGGACTAGGTATCCAATCTAACTGTATTATAAACTCAATCACCCATATTAATCTTTCATTCAAGTATTATCGTATTAAACCGCAGAGACAAAAATATTTTAAGCCATCCGTTATATCATATACGATACTGATTAGACACAGAGCACTCTGTCAATTCATCATGTTTATTTATCTATTGAAGACGTAGATGTCGAAAAAACCGCACAAACTGTAATTCTGTTGAGAATATACTTGTAGTGGATTATTTTCTAGATAATTCCCCAGGCTTTGTATATCAGTTGCTCTGATAAAGATTATTAATTAAACTCCAACAGTAAATTTAAAAGGCAACATGAAGCTCCGACTACAGTTTAACATTTTATGGCGCAGATCGCCGTCACAAACATACCAAACGATTTCAAGCAGAAGTGCAAATAGAGAAGGGAACTAAGAATCGAATTTTTAAGATTTACACAGATGTATATAGGATAGCGAATGATTCACCGATAGATTTAAAGCTAAAGAGAAGGATATGTGCTCAACGTGTCGTCTGAATCCAAACGTATATGTTTTTGTACAAAGATGATAGTAATAATATTGATATAAAGACATAGGTAAATTGCTCAAATAACACTGTCTGTCAAAAAAGTTAATAAAGGGGCTTGACAAAACTAACCGTAAGCAAACTTATTAGTAGTAAAGGTGCTTTAATAACTTTTCCCTAGAAAACAAAGGTATATAAAAAATCACGTTAAACTGGACAGAATATTGATGATACACAGAAAGTATCGTATTACAGAATAACTTACTGTGACTTGGAATATCATCCCAGCATGCAAAGAACGTACAGTGTAACGCAGTCGAACGTCACGAATAAAAATTCAACCAGAGCAAAATTCACAGCATAATTTAGTTATTTAATAGAAAATACACTATAACATGATAAATTCTATGATTACATTAACGTGCACATGATCGTTATTACAATGGGCTGTACATTAGGTTTACGTGGAAACATTGGGTCTAAATCCACTCGAATATCGTATTATAAAAAATCAAAACTACCCTGTAAGGTTATATGTGTTTATGTACATCGGTGAGGTCAGATAAAACATCGAAAGGGTTTGGTATCATTTTTATACATATTAGGGGTGAAGATATACGAAATGTTTCTAATTGTATGAAAGATAATGTAAGGTTAACGATGCTCGTGTACAAAAAGAAGAGGAATAAAATAAGTTATGTTCAAAACAGTGAAGGAAATTACTAATGCAAAATTGTGATTATATACCATAGCGGTCATTTAACTCTATGACTATATCTCGCCGTCACTGGAGTTTCTTCTGTATTTTTCTTTATCAATATTTATCATTGATGCTTAAGATTCACATTTCAGTGATTCTACAGTTTTTAAAGGATTTGCATTTTTCGATTGATCATCATTTTCAATGAAAGCTGTTTCAACTTGGTCGATACTGATTACATCTATCTTCCTACAGTAATTGCTTTATCAGTCTCCTCGAAACCACGTTAAATGGACCATCATAATTCGGTTACACAGGATACTGTACATTATCTTTTCTAAACACATAAATGCTATTAAGCAATTGTTGTAGTATGTATATTTGTCATTGCTGATGTCTAGAAAGAGTTATTTCTAAATTATGTATCATTACCAACATTTGATTTGATAATTTCGAATAAATTGAGCATTGGGTAGATTGTTATAAATAAAAATAATATTTGTAATATCCCAATGAGTAAAAAATTAGATTTTCTGACGTTTCGTGACTTAGTGTAAGTCACTTCTTCAGAGAATAAATAACCAAATCAAAAGTAACCCAAGTTAACATAGTACAACGGAACAATTTGACTGATCAAATATTATTCTTGCATTGTTCCGTTGTACTATGTAAACTTGGAATAATTTTAATTTGGTTATTTATTCTCTGAAGAAGTGACTTACACTAAGTCACGAAACGTCAGAAAATCTTATTTTTCTACTCATTGGGATATTAGAAGTATATTATTTATTTATATTTCTAAATTGTTCATATACTTCTTTAGAGGTTTTACGTAGTTAGTTACATCAGTCGGAAAACGTTTACGTACAGTAGAGTTCCATAAACTAATTCTGCTGGAAACGCTCTCTTACTCTTCAGTAGTTGATAGGTTATTATTTGTTGTAAAGAGAACAAAATTTATGAGATATAAAAGTAGAGTTTTATTTACAAATGTAAAGTGCATATTTATGTATAGAAATTGTAAGTTATCCAATGTATCCCAATTCATCACTTCAAATAATAAACAAAATTAAGTTTCAATAAGTTAGGCTAGCAACATACGTTAATCACTAGAAGAAAATACAAAAAAAACCCAGTAATAATAATAAATTTGATTCACCGTAACATAAAATACATGGAAACAAATGAAACATTAATAATACAGATTATGATTATCATTTCTAATGAACACATGAGTGCTATTATGCAATTGCTGCGGTACAATATGATGTTAAGCCCAGATACCTTATTCTAGCTTCTAGACAGGCCAATTCATTCATTCATCTTGAGTCATATTTCGACCTTTTTAAATATTCGCTTATCAAACTTGACTGTTTTTATGTTAGGTTATGTGTGTACCCTTCTTATCCCATTCATCACATCTCTGTAGCTTGTTTTCATGTGAATATAAATATTGATTAAATTGAGTTGGCTCACAAGCCATCTCCACTGTACCTCATTTTGCTTCAATCTCTTCTCTTCGTTTTATACTTCTGATTGTCTGTTCAAATCAATAACCTGATTCAAGTCGATAACAATATACGAGAATAGTCAGGATGTATATTTCGATAAAAATCATTCATACGATCTATATGAAGTCAAATTTTGGAGTCACTAAAAAATCAGCTCAAAGAAATATCTCGAATTTTATGATGAACCTATTGAAATGTTTCAATAAAACAAAATAATGATAATAAGTCAGCTGAATAATAAAAATGCATAAAAGCGAATCATATGGTGTTCAATTAGAGTAGGAAATTCGACGAGAAAACAATTTGAAGAAAATCATTAAACTATACTTGGTTATTGATACGGTTGAAGTAGGTTCGATGTGACGGTTGATACTACAACAATATGATATTGCTTAACAGTTAATCTTGGAGTTAATTTGAGAGAATATTAGTTGTATACTTTCTTACTGATTAGCGTTTCTTTAGTGAGTTAGTTTTCTACGGGATAGGGTTGCTAACCCCATGCCCAACCCTCCTCCTTCATCCGTGCTTGGGACCGGCAGTAGCCCCAGAGGGGATCCAGGCGGAGTAACAGTAGTACGTAAGTAAATTAGTTGTATAAAGGAATTTATATAGAAAGCCAAGAAATTCCTGAATGATTCAAGTTTGGTTTTCGTTATCAATGAAGTTATAGTTAAAAAGGGATAATGCAAGACTTCATACAAATACTTTTGGGATTCCTCGGCAGTGCGCATCCACAATAGGATGGAACGACCATCCAGTGCTTCCAGGCTTTCAATGGTGGTCTAACACAAATCGGTTCAAGATCTCAATCGATAGACAATAATGTAAACTTTAAACTCACATTGTATCATACACTTACAGATTATATAAAGAACTGTAGAAGGTTCTCATTGTACAAATTAAAACACGGAAGATAAGTTTGCTTGATAGACGGTAGAAACATAAATTATTGAAGTAAAAACTTAATAGAAACTATCATTTTTTTATTACTAAGGTGGTTTAGCAAAGATTATTGAATAAGTATAAATGGGAAAACTGTAGAAAACAAAGTTAAACATTTCAGGACTTCAGAAAAATTGCTTTTACAGTCAGTGAAATCTAATTCATTAATTTTTTTTTTATTGCATGGTGTACAGATTCTGAGACTGTTGAGTTGCATATTTTATATCATGAACAGATATTACCTAGAGAAATACTGAAAATCTACAATCACTAGACAACTGTTTTGTTCTGTGTAGTGCGTATCCACAACTACACCAGGCATTGAACCTAGGATCTTCAGGTTTAGTAATAAACTCTGCTAAACAATAAACTCACTTGCTTTTGTTATTCTCCTTATTATGAAGTATCTTCATCGTCAATATCTGCATTGAATACATTATAAAAGTTTTGTGTTGTTGTATTCGTGAAACCCATAAATGAATTATCATCCAATAATTCACCACCTCTATGTATAATATTGTTACGTTCATCATCATCATCTTCATCAACATCATTAACGACCACATCCACTAAATTATCTAGATCAGTGATGGTACCAGTTACAATACAATCATCATCAATTTGATTATTTATTGTAGCATTATGAATATGTTGAATATTCATAGGATTATCATTAGTAGAATTTGCAATTAATTCAGTAACAACAGAAGTTTGTAAATCATCATCATCAACACTATCAGCTTGTTCATCACCGGAATCAGATAGTAAAAGTTCCGCAGCCAATTCATCTTTAAGATTATCAACAGGAATGATAGAAGTAGTAGCAGAAATAACATCATTAACGAGATCGTTAGTTGTTGAAGTGATAGTGGTAGATTTTAGTTTGTTATATACAGTTTCTGAAGTTGATTGATTAGTCTAATAATGAAAAGAGAAAAAAAGTGGAAAAAGAATTAGAACATATATTATAAGAATGTTATTACTGAATACCTTCGTTAATCAATTCACTCATTTCTGAATGTACAAAACAGACTGTTGTTATGTTCTTATACTGTTAAATATCACGTAACAAGATCGCCAATCAGGATATCAAATTCCACGGCCTTGGCACCGTGCCAAATCACTGAAGTGTCGGCCAGTACGAGCAGCCTAGAATCAACTTTGAGTCCCCATTGGTTCTTCACGCTTACCCCTGTCCGTTCGAGTCCAGGACACAATCTCAGCTTCTACTGTATGAATCATATGTCTCAAACAGACTGGGTTTATAAACAAGCGAACCATAAAGTAGAAAAATAGCAACTGTACAAGACCAAGCCAAATGTGGTTGAGTGTAAGAGACAGTAACCAATACATTTAGAATAACTTGAGAAGAGTAATTCCTATAGCAGCAGTCAGTATATAATTGGAAGCTTATTATAAAAGGAATGTGAATATATATATATATATATAATTCAGTTACTTAATAGTTATCCAATAAGAATATATGTATAATATCAGTCTATAAATAGATTCTCAGTCAGTCAGTCAGCTACAATGTAGGACCGGGTACATATGTTCATCGGTCCAAGTTGCCATACCGCATTAGCACAATAAGATAAACACCAAATTCATAGAAGTAGTTAAGTCAGTGGTGGTAATATATATAAAAAAAGATTGCAGATAAGGACATTGTACAGGAAGAAAGAATGAGTTCGTAGAAAGAAACATATAAAGCAATTTCAACCTCATAGTTTAAAGGAAAACAGAGTGTATACACCTACACCATTGTGATCGATTCTGAGCCATGTCACACACAGTCTCCAACCATTGGTTACCATAGTCACACGGACCCCAATCAAGTAGTCTGCATCTACCAACATGGCCCAGATTAGAAGTTAATGACTTCAAGCACTGATGCCATGTTTTGGTTTGGCCGCCTCTAACTTTCTTACAACCATCTCCATTACCGGTTAGCATTGCGCGTCGTGGTAATCGGTGTTCAGGCATACACAACACGTGGCCCAACCATCTCAGTCGATGAAGATCCACAACCTCATCAACTGATTTACCAACATTCCCTAATACCCTGCATCTAACCTCACTATTACTTACTTATTCGGTGATCACAACAGATGCGAGCAATATATCTAAGGCATCTGTGATCAAATACTAGTAGCTTACGAGTATCTTCTACTCTTATTGACCACGTTTCACAGCCGTAACAGTCTCTAGCAGTACTCAGGACCACTATAAATAGATTCTAGCAGTTACCATTGATTTATTCCTTTGTTAGAATATGACAAGTATTAAATAATTGGCAATTTACAAGGAAATAATTCTGAATCTGTTTGTATTGTATTATCTGATTGAATTTTCCAAAACAGGCCATTAAATTTTCACTTCCAATAACATACGGAGGAGTTTAAGTTATTTTAATTAAGATAGACATTGTTCATTCCCTTTGCAATGATATAATAACTTCTCTTCATACCCACCTGATTGTAATTCAATTATCAATTACGAACATAATATAAAGGATCGACTAATTGAGTTCAATAAGTTGCTTTAAATTGTTCCAAAAATTATATTAGGTCCTACTTAAACCAGGTGGTGCACCGGGGAACACAATAATTGAATCGATGTACAATTATATTGCTGGTTGGTAGATCTAAACCTATATAATTTACATAACAAATAAGCAGAAATAAATGGTGGCTAGTAGTGGAATCTAGAACACGTGTTTCGTCCTATTTCTAGGGCTCGTCAGACGGATTTACCTGCATCCGAAAGTTGATGTTCTCTCCGAGAGTCGAACCCAGTACCACTTGGTTCAAACGCCATCGCGTTATTAAACTAGCTACTGAGTCTAGAGATTCACTAGTTTGTGGAATGGTATGAAGTTTAATTCATATTTGTATAGGTTGTTTGAATCTTATCACTGATGTTTAGGACTGTAATTGATCAGTCTCTTATTGGTATATGTGCATTCTGTGACAACAACTTGTTTAATTAGCTTTATAGCATATTTCATTCCTAGTTCTAAGTATAAAATCGGTTAACTTTTTATTCTTGTACAGTATCAAATGATTTGCAATCATACAAGATAAGGTTTTGTAACAGACCTATAATAGTACCAATGCACCTATTGTAAACTTGAATAGATTTATAAAACACGCAAAAATTAAATGTAATTTCCACAGCTTTTGATTTAGGTTGTAATCATTTATCCATATGTATCAAAAATACAGTCATAAAAACATATTTCTTACACATAATAGAAAATTTTCCGAAACTTACTATCAAAGCATTATTATCAGTAGTTTGATTTTGTGCAGATGATTGATTATAATCTTTTACTTTGCCATCACCAACAACAGTGTGCTCATCATTATCACTAGGATGATCATTACTTCCAAGTCTTTCCCTTCCTCCACCTCCTTCATGACGATGACGACGACGGTCAGCGCCGCCACCACCACCATTCCCGCGATGACTGCTACTACTACTGTTGTCGTCACTATCACTTGAAGAACCAATACTGCTACTACTTATTTCACCGAATACATCACGATGATCTATTGCATATGCTCGTCCACCTGGAATGATGATGAATTTGTTTAACGAAATTAAAGATACATTATTATACGCACTGAAGTGTCATTTAAAAAAAGACTTATAGATTAGCAAGAATTTGTGAATTCCTGTTGACGAAATTCAAGGCTAGTTTATCAGTTTTTGTTGTTCTAGAAGACACGCGTCGGATGAAGGCTTTTGATTGTAGATGTCTTCGAGGCATTTTTTATGTTCCGTGGGATGACTGGGTGAACAATCTTAACGTTGAGTATAGGGGGCTAATCGATTAATGAGGTAGCGAATCTTCACCGAAAAGTCATGCTTGCTAGTGCAGGAGAAGGTTAGAAGATATCTAGAAGTGCATCTTCGAAACGCGCACACAGGATCCGAGTAAAGTCATTCATTTGACCTCACTTTATCAATATAAAAAACAGGTGCGATTTACTCTTCGTGTATTTGAAGTCCCACTACTACTTCCCGCGACCTCGCACGTGTAGGTATAGCACTAAATTAAAAAACAGAACAGACTAACCTCGGATGAATTCTAAAGGATAGTCGCTTTCAAGGTGTCCGAATGAAGTGAACGACAAAAGCTCTAGAGAATGGGGACACAAACTGTTGATTCTTCATTGTCTCCGCCCTTGTTCCTACTGTTTCAGGTTCATATGAAGTAACAGGATAATTTCATCGGTACTTCTCAACCCTCATAACAAAAGCTAAACGCTCAGATGCAGCAATAGTGGGTGACTTTAATCCTCAAATCGGTAGTTTAAACTAAATTAAAAGGCATTAAAGTGTGTCCTACGGCGTTAAGTCAGCCAACACCAAACTCAGGATCTTCAAAACAAATGTAAATACAGTTCTACTGTATGGAGCTGAAACTTGGAGAACATAAAAAATATATAGTTTCTGTGAGTGGGACATTTGTAAAGAGAGAAGGATGTCCCACTGTTCGGCCCCCTCTTGTCTGACTGTTTTCATGGCCAATTTGGAAAATACGGTATAGTTTTGGTGAGTAGAACTTTTGTAAAGAGAGAAGTAACATTCAATGAGATCATTTTTCTACCATTTACATTGGTAATTCTAATTGAGCCGACAAAGTCAAATGAATAAAGAGAGTTGTATCTATTGATATAAATAACTCTCTGTATCATTTGATTGATAAATGGTTAACTGAGATTTTACAACCCGTCAGAAACCATGGTACTTCGACCAATAATTGAGAGATTTCATTTATACAAGAGATACATGGATGTTATTTTAATTATTTGTAAAGCAGATATGGACCTCAATGAGATTTTGAATAGTTTCAATAATTATCACCACTCAATTCAATTCATGTTGGAAGCAGAAGCCAACGATGAATTTCATTTTCTTGATGTTCAATCGAAACGAAGGTCAGATGGTCCTTTACAGAGATCCATATACAGAAAATCGATCTGGAATGGGAAGCATACAAATTTCCATAGTTCACTCTTTACCTTAACGATTAGGCGAATATATTCTACTGACACAATAGATGACGAACTACTTCAACAGACACTTATCAGAAATGTTTATCCACCTAGATTCGTCGACAGGAACTTAGCCCATAGACAGCATCTTGAAAAACACCAACAGTTCAAAAGAAAACTCTTTATGAATATCGAATTTAAAGGAGATACGGCTGCTAAAATCTTGAATAAACAGATTTCATAATCCCTGAACAAAACATTCTATTCAGCTAAGCTCCACATTATTTGCTCAAGCTGGTCTACCATTCACGGATGTGTCAAAGATAAACTTCTGCCACATTAATGTGCATCTATAAATTTACTTGCTCCTGTGAGGTAGGTTACATTGGCCGCAAAAACCGATCATTTTCTAAACGCATCTCAGAACATTATCCGGTGTGGCTTTTGAAAGCGGATAACAAAACAGTTATCAGTTCAACCTAACTAATTGTACTTCACTTACCGGTTTAGAATCTCTTATTAATTATAGTTAGACAAACTTTATAGTCACAACTGAATGCTTGTCCATTTTTTGATAAATGTAAATAGTTTTCATTAGAAACTAAATAATTGAAAGTGTAAATATGAAACTCTATAATCAAGTACAGACTATATATATATATATATATATATATATATATATATATATATATATATATATATATTGTTGTGTGAATAAGAGACAGTAGAGGTGATTCAAATTTGATAGTTAGTCTATCCTTTCAACTGAAGTAGGAGATAAATAGAGATTTTAACCTCCCGTCGCTAATATTAAAGGATTACCAGAGATAGTTTGTTGAAATTAATTATGGCATCAAGGTTGTTCTATAAGTCAATGTAAATGTGGTTGTAAGACTAAGACCAGAAAGAATGAATGGATTGATTATTTACAGAGTCACAGGTTAATGTAAGCAAAAAAAACTATGTAAATCGTTTGTTAAGATAAGTTTGTATCCTTTATTTATTTGAACACATAAATATTGGTATAAGAGAGCGCCAATATATATGCGCCACACAAAACAATGAGAATCTGAGAAGAAAAAAAAGTGAGGAACGTAAAAAAAAATAATAATAAAAAACAATAACGAAGGGATTGATGTAAGGTAATGTAATAATAATAATAATAGCAATATTAGAGGAACAGAAGTGTACAATCAGAAGAAATCTTCCAGTTAAGGAAGATACAACCACGTTTTATGAAGAAAGTAAAAGAAGATTACAGCAGGATCGCCACTGGCTTCTATTCTAAGCCATATCTGATAACCTCTCTAGCCACTGTGTTGCACCATGTCTCAGACCCCAACCAGGGAGTCGTGAAGGACCAACACAAGCCAGTCCTTTGCAGCTTTCTTTCATACCACGACACCATGTCATGCACTGACCACCTCTCCGCTTCTTCCAACCAGTCCCAGAGTCGGCAAATAATGCACGACGTGGAATTCTCTGGGACGACATTCGTAGAACATATCCAAGCCACCGAAGTCGGTGTTTCAAGATGGTGACATTGATTGCAATATCATCTCTGCGCCCAAACACACGATGCCGAACCTCTGCATTACTAACTTGGTGTTGCCACTGAATGTCAGCAATCCTTCGGAGACAGCGATGATCGAACACAGAGAGTCGTCTAACGTCCTCAACTCGGAGAGCCCAGGTTTCACAAGCATCGAGCAAAACTGCTCTCACCAACCCGTTGTAGATCCGACCTTTTACTGCAGCCAGACTAACATCACGAAGGCGCCAAAGATGGCCCAGATTGGTATAAACCGCTCTGGCTTTCACTATTCGTGCATTGATCTCATCACTCACACCCCCACCAGCACTTATGCAGCTACCCAGATACACGAACCTCTCAACTACGTCTATCTGCTCACCATCCAGGGTGAGTACAGGATTTGAATCCTGCCAGTCTTGTAGAAGTACTTTGCACTTCGAAGGTGCAAAGCACATACCATACCTACAGACACTGATTCCCAACTGATTACGTGCGGATTGCATGCCTCGGGCATTATCGCACAGTAAGACAATATCGTCCGCATACTCAAGGTCGAGAAGTCTTTCTCCAGCCAACAGATCCACACCACCATTACTTACATTCATCAGAGCTGTTTCCAGAATGTCATCGATGGCAAAGTTGAAGAGGAATGGTGAGATTGGGCAACCCTGCCTAACCCCACTGCTCGAATGGAACAATGGAGAGAGGTGGTTGTATGCCCTCACTCTGCCTGAGGTGTTTTTATAAAGGGCTTTTAGGATAATAATAAACTTCTCAGGCACACCCTTCTTCAATAGACAATCCCAGAGAACAGTCCTATCCAACGAATCGAAGGCAGCCCTGATGTCAAGAAACACTACGATTGTTGGCCTTTGAAAATTATGGCGGTGTTCTAACATTTGGCGGAGGGTGAAGATATGATCAATACATCCTCGGCCAGAACGAAAGCTAACCTAGTTCTCGCGAGTCAATCTTTCTCAGGTTTTGAACAATCTACGAAGTATGACGGAAGCCAATAGCTTGGACGCAATCGGAAGTAGACTTATCCCCCGATAGTTGTTACAGGAACGATGTGAACCCTTTTTAAAGATAGGGACAACTATCGACTCATTCCATGACGTTGGTACACTCTCTAGTTCCCAAACCTTTGTAAACAACGTCGTCAATTCCTTAGCCAGAAAGTCACCACCATCTTTAAAAAGAGCCGGAGGTAAGTCATCTGGGCCAGGTGATTTGTAACGCTTCAAGAGTTGGAGTTCCTTGCGGACTTCCGCCTCATTCGGTGGATCAGTCGTCACCGGTCATGGAGGGCGGTGTCGCCGGAGCAGCAGGCCAGTTGAACTGCCCTTCAAAAAATTCTGCCCATCGTCCAAGACGTCGATGGATGTTAGTGATTGGCATCCCATCATCCTCGCAGATTGTTTCACTCACACCAGACTTCTTGCTGCCAGTGGCTCGGATGAGTTGGAGGGGCTTCCGGTAGTTACCAGATGCAGCTGCTGCTTCCAGCTCATTAGCACGCTCCGACCACCAGGCTTCTCGGTCCTTACGCAAGCTTTGCCCAATTTCCTCACGTAACAGCCTTCGTTTATGGTCAAACTGACGGTCACCCGGCGTAGACAGACGGGCTTCAATGAGTTGTAAGGAGCCTAAAGAAACCCAGTGCTTATAAGCGGGACGTTTCGCGAATCCACAACTGACTATACCCGCCATTTTCATGGCGTCATGAAATTGCAACCAATGCTCATCTATACTTTTCGGTATCCTTGAATACCCTGGTACGATCGAGAGTGGGGGGAGTCCGCTCTCCATCTCCAAATGCTCTTACATGGACAAGCGTATACAGCCACTGAATCAGAAGTCCTACTTACTGTTTTCTCCTACTGGGGGTGTTGTTTACGAAATCGAGGATACAAAGTGAATGTTCAGTGATTTACCCGGGCCAGTGAACACAAGATCCAACTAGGGGAGTTGGAAAACCACAATTCTAAACCAATGGTGCACACGAGCTCCAAGATCCTAAGGAAACAAATGGGATATGAAACAATCGGTGGTCACTGACTACCATAGGACTGCATCTCCTAAAGTTTCTCTTCTGCCTTGTGGATTAAACCTGTAGGTCATAAACTTTGAAAGTGGCCTCCCTAAGGAGACCATTTACTTCGGTTTTGGGCACCCGAGTAGTATCCTAGCCCTGACACAAATTGGATCATTTGTGTGGTGCATATCTATTTGGTCCCTCCTTCTACCAATGTTTGTTTTTAAATAAATAAACAAATAAATAAATCGTTCGTATTCAAATAAATACTATCATTTGATAACGAAACTACCTATACAGTTCCTCATTATGCCTAATTTATGTATTCAAAAACGAATCAGAGACTTTGTTTTGAACCTTAAAACATATAACAGCCTTATTAAAATTTATTTAAAAAAATGGAATTATATTTAAAAAAATTTACTATGTTCAGTATATGACTGACAGCAGAGTCTAGTCTTTCGTTCTCTTTTAGACTTAACAACACCTGCTTATATCCTAATGTTGATGTTCACATTGAAACTCAAATCTGAGTCCTTATCGCTTCAAACTCCAAAACTGTATTATCTACAAAGTGACTGAACTCCGATTAGCTCTTATTAACTTAGTCTTTCAACACACATGAAATACTAAACATACCGTCTTCATCTTCTTCCTCTTCTAATTCATCATCAGCTGTACGTTGTTGATTGCCTAATTGAACATTATTACAACTATCGGTTTCATTATTAGATAGACTTGATTTATTGTTATTTCCATTCGATCGTATTACAGGCGCAGGTGGATCAGTCCATATAACTTCCCATCTAAAAAAGATATATAAATCTGAAGTGAAAACAAAGTTTATATTTGTACAACATAAAGTCTGATATATTAATTGTATTTCTAGAATGGCGGAGTGGTATATATATACATATATATACTTGAATCTTATTAATCTATTCGATTCTGAATTTGTCTCTGTATCCGTTTTCTCGCGCGTATTAGCTTTTCTGCTCCAAGTCGCTTGGTGTGTTTGTAGGTGTTAGCGGGACATGGACTGGATTAAAGCATGCTCAATGCACGATTGCTTTGGTGCATGCTGATTGGTTAATTCTTATCCAATCAGCACTAGTCGATACTTGGAGAATACTCTAGAATTTTCTCATGTAAAAACTACAAATATACTAACGTTTTCCCTATTGTGCTTCTTACTTCCATCTAACCTTGTTATTTAAAATATAATCTCTTTCCTGTTCAACCGTGTTTTGATTTGGGGACTTGTCGAGTGAATCAGTGTCCGAGAATACTAAGCAATAGGAATAGCTGGGTCATAACCGTAAGAAATAGATTATAACAGTAGGTTTGCTATCTGTGCTAGACAATGATAAACCGTAGTCGGCGCCTCATGTTGCCATCAGAATTCATACAGCATTCGTGTTTATTTAATAACGGTTATCACGGTAATTGATATACGAAGCCTAAGGAATTACCTGTATGCCAAGCCACTGCAAGTTATCTTAACTTAAGCAAATCTATCTACGTTACATCTTTAACTGAACTGTATCTCCTATCGGACTATTTCTGTTTGTTAATTTGTTGACTGCAAATCCCTCTCTCCTTTATTTGGAGAAATGTGTTTCTGTTTGAACAGTGGACGCTATTTAGTAGCACACAGAGACGTATGACATTACAAATGATCGAATCCAATATCTTCAGGTGGATAAAAAGTTTAACTATTTAAATTGTTGTGAAGGAAAGCTTGAATGTGTTTCATCACAGAGACTGGAGCAATGACGTTTATAATAGGTGCTTTGTTTATAGCTTCATAGTCTTTCTTCTTCTTACAGTTGCTTAAATAAGATTTATTTATGATGAAAATCAGTATTACTAAACGAAAATTCAATTATTTGCAATGATTATAGAAGACAGATTATTATCATCATTGGTAGTAGTATATATTTGAATTATTCACTGTTAATCATAATTCCTCTCTGTTCTGTAAAAGTTGTAACCAAATAGTTACGCTATAAAAATCCACATATGATGACTACACGTGAACAAAAACTGGTTGAAATCCTTTTCTGAATTACAACAACAGAATACTTCAAATCTATACTGTAAACATCATATACGTTGGACGCATTCATCACTATCTGCACTCAGTAGCTCAGTGGTTAACAATGCATTAGGTGTTTCAAAAGAAAAGACAGCAGGATGTAGTATCAATGTGACAATTATTCATTTATTTATTTGAACATACAAATATTGGTACAAAGAAGCATCGAATATATATGCGCCACATAAGTCACGTGATTTGTGTGTGGGCTGTGATACTGCACCGGGTGCCAGACAGAAGCAGGTGGTTTCCTAAGGGGCCCTCGACCTGAAGGTATAATCCATAATGCAATGGAGCAACGTCGGGAGATGCAGTCTCATGGCAGCCAATGACCAATAATTGGTTCGTACGCCATTTGTTCCCTCAGGATATGAATAGGAACATTGGGACCCAAGTACATTCAGCCGATAAGTCCCAAGTAGGATGAAACGCACGTCCTATATTGCACTGTCAGCCATAGTCAATTTATTCTATATGGTGAAAATAAGTAGAACTTCATTTAGCCCTACTGAGATTAGTATCATATACACTGATGAGTTACAAGAAAAAGAAAAGAAAAATAGAACAGAATAGAATATATAGAAGGTAAACATCTTACTTTACATTGACAGCTTGTAAATCAGCTCTCAGTAGTTGTTTGACTTCTTTCTCAATTTTAGGCATATCAACAAAACGTTTTCTACGCGTTTTACGAAATCGACGATGTAAGACATTTTTTAATGGTGGTGTTATCCCATGAAGAAATTGAAATTCTCGATTTTCATGACTAATAAGTAAAATATGAGATGAAATGGAGTATATTGCGGTGGAATTAGTAAAATAAGGAGACCGGGGTGGGGAAATGGAGAGAAATATATTTGAGCATTAAAAATATCTAAAGGATAACGATTACAATTAACAGGTCGTATTATACATATCAAGAACTACTCAGATGTTAGAATAACAGTCAATCATAATCAACATACGGCCTGGAATGAATTTGCGCAAGGTATTATACCTTACACCAATACAATGAGAAGTAGAATTAACAAAACGACAAGAAAACATTAGCTATGAACAACAAATAATGTAGAATTCGGAACAAATATGCGTTAGCCTAATTTGTCATATCACATTAACACGACAAGATAAATTCACAAAATGAACAGTAAATGAGTCAAAATAGTAGTAGTGATAATAATGAAAAAGACTTAACATTGAGAATATGGTCCGAAGAAACGAAGTGGAAAGATATGCGTGAAGGAATACTGGGACTCAAAATTTAAAGGAAGATAAATAGTGAAGGCATCTACATTATTTTGATCGATTTTAGGAACTCCACTCGATGTCCCTAATCAGTGATCGCTGTTATCACGTGTACACTAGCCACATATTCCGAAACCAGAACCCTGACTCAGAATAACAGTCGATGACTTCATAGACAAAAGCTATGTCTTGATTTAGCCACCCTTAACTTCCTTTCAACCTACTTCTATGCATTTTATCAGCGTCTTCACCAAACATAACTATGTCATCTGCGTATTCTAAGTCGATAAGTGGACCTCCTGGAAGGAGATCAATACGCGAGAATTCAGTAGACAAGAATGTTATTCCCATCAGTAAGTTTATGATGAAGTTAAACAAAAATGGAGAAAGTGGACAGTCTTGACGGACACCACTTGAAGTTGCAAACTCAGATGACAGTTCGCCATAAGCTCTGACTTGACTAGTAGTGTTCGAGAAGAGAGCCTTTACAAGGTTTATGTACTTCTGAGGTACGCCTTCCAATGACAGACACTGCCACAGAATCTTGTGGTCTACGGAGTCAAATGGAAAAAGTGAGAACTCGGGATCGAGGTAGGAAGCTGTGCTAAATCTCATGATGTTTATGACTAACCAATTGACTATAATCGAGTAACCACTAGTTTGTCAATATTCTAACGTCTAAACCAGTCAGTCATACGCAACGTACAATCTGACATAAGTGTACATCTATTCAACTTCCCATTAGCCCGTTAGCACAGTGAGATGAAATAGGGAAAATCATAGAGTAGTAAAGGTAGTAATAGAATGAATTATGATGGAAAAGGTTAGGTATGTAAGATACAGTTTTAGATAATATAAATTAGAGAAACAAAAAATATTCGCAAGGAATTTGAAAACTTAAGATTTAATGGAAGACGTGGTGAGTCGTTGTGAACGATTTTTAGCCATGTCGACTCGTGTCTAACCACCTGTCACGATAATCTTGCGGACCCCAACTAGGTAGTCTGCATCTACCTACATAATCCAGTCCAACGCTCGGTGTCTTCATGGACTAATTCCATCTCTTAGTTTGGCCGCCTCAAGCTTTATTCAAGCCTACTTTCACACCACTCATCATCGCCCATCAAAGCAGTCAGTAAAGGAGGTACGTAATAAATCGCCCAACCATCCCAGTAGATAGGGTCTCATTATTTCGTCAATCGGCTCACCATCCTTAGTTTGTACTCTGAGTCTAACCTCAAAATCGTTAAACTAACCGTTCCAAAAAAATATATACGAGAAATGGTCCGAAGACGCCTATGGTCTAATACTACGGACCAATGAATAACTTCTTTTTTTAATGGATAATCTTCAGACCGATAAAGTAGGATGGAGTGAATCGCAACAACACATTAGTTCATTAGTTGGTAAACATATATCGCGTCTACACTATAAGTGACGCTAGTTGGTAAAAGCCAACTGAGCTTCTTGAAATATCTATTTAAAACAAATGAAATATTCTTTGAGTAGATAGTACGGTGACTTTGTGAGGTTGTAAAATCTTGATACGCTAGACCAACTAGACATTTCAGTTTAAGGCCAAATGGAAAGTGAGAGATAATTACGGGTGTAACCTACTGGTCAATACTTGATTTAGCTTCTAGTTGAGAATCTGGTTTAATTTCTGAGGATGACAGATATATATTTTTGAATGAGTTATGAACAGATTTTGGACTCGCGTTACCGAATTAAAGCTCCCCATTATTGATTTTTCCCACTTAAGTAGGCAGTCTGGGGAATCATATAGTAAGCGTGTATATCAGCAGCACACTCGGACGACCATAGAACATTATAAATCCTCATATAGTATGTTCCAGGAAAAAAATCATTGCTAATATTCTTGTATTAATTCTCAGAGCCCACAAACGCCCTGGTATGGCCGAGAGCGGGGTGGGTTCGCCCTCCCTCTCGAAATACTCTCACACGGCCGCGCGTATACAGCCTCTGCCAGGGAAGTCCTACTCACTGCCTTCTCGTGGCGGGGGTGTTGTTTACGAAAATGAGAGGACGGAAAGCGAATGTCCGGCGCTTTAACCGGATTCCGAATCTATGATGCACATGGGCACCAGTATCCTACGGGAACAAATGGCGTATGAACCAATTTTCGGTCACCGGCTACCATGGGACTGCATCTCCTTACGATGTTCCATTGCCTTGTGGGTTAGACCTTTGGGTCAAAGGCTCGGGGTGTGGCCCCCTAAGATAACCAACTGCTTCGGTCTGGGCACCCGGGCAGTATCGCAGCCCACACGCAATTAATGAACTGAAATTGTGTGGCGCATATATATTTGGCGCACTCCTGTACCAATATATATGTGTTCAAATAATAATAAATAATAATTAATTCTCAGATGATTTTCGTCCGGCTAACTATTAATGTATTTTCATTCGTAATAATCATTTCATTGTGTGTATTTTTCAAATACTTGTTTAGTATGACACTCACCAAATAAAAATCACTAAATCTAATCGCTATATACTTTAATGAGTTTAAATATTAATTAGTTCTTCTTCAATATATCAATGAAATTTCTAAATAGTTTTGGAATTCTGTCTCCAGTTAGCGTATACGGAAGAAGAGGAAAGGAAACAGTCTCGTTCATCCCTATTGAAGCCGGATTTTTAAATTAGTAGCTTAATCCAAAGAAATATCAGACTACAAATCAGCTTCATATACTGGCAAATCTTTTGTTCCATTGTGTCGTTGTCCGATTCTTCCACGGATATATACACTTATTACATGTGAACTCAATCAGCTACATAAGTGAAAAACCAAGAGTGAGTCAAAAGCTTTTATTGGCTAACCGAATTGAATCTACATATACAACTCATTCGTAAATATAAATACATATCCATCGGAAAATAAAGACAGATTTTCAGCCAGTAATGTAAGTCTGTTTTCCCATGAAGTTAAACCAAATCCTGACCAATCTATGACCTGCTAACAGTGACTTCTTCCGTACATCAAAATGATTTATTTATTTATTTATTTTAACACATAGATATTGGTACAAGGAAGCACCAAATATATATGCGCCACACAAATCTCATTTGATATGTGTGAGGGCTGTGATACTGATCGGGTGCCCAAATCGAAGCAGGTTGTTTTCTTAGGGGGCTACACCCGGAGCCTTCGACCTGAAGGTCTGATCCACAAGACAGTGGAGCAACGTAAGGAGATGCAGTCCCATGGTAGCCAATGTCCAGCGATTGGTTCATACGCCATTTGTTCCTTCAGAATCCTGGAGCCCATGTGCACTATTGGTTTGGAATTGTGGTTTTCCAACTTCTCTAGGTGGACTCTCCATGTCCACCAACCCGGTTAAAGAGCCGGACATTCGCTTTTCGTCCTCTCAGTTCCGTAAACAACATCGGTGCCACGAGAAGGCAGTGAGTAGGACTTCCTTGGCAGAGGCTATATACGCGTGGCCATGTGAGAGTATTTCGAGAGGGAGAGCGGACTCTCCCCACTCTAGACCGTACCAGGGCATTCGGAATGAATAACATCTTCCTAAAAAACAAACGCTAAACGTAGTGAAAATATATATTGACCTCATTAAAATAAATAACACTGACTCTTAGAAATCTGAAATTTCCAACTCATACTTAACAACGTAAGTCCATAAGGGAATTTTATGAAAATTACTTTAAAAAAGGAAAAAAACACTGAATATTTATTCAGACAAAAAATTCTTTATGAAAAGAAAATTAACTCCAATGAAGTAACCGTCAATAGGGTAGGTGTACGACAACCTAAACAGAAGTACGGATTTAAATTTATCTTCAATACAGATTAGTATAAGTTGATTCATTAATAAGACACCAATAATATGTTCAGGCATTAAAATGTTTACCTAATATCAAATGTTTTATTGCGTGAACCAGGACGATTGTCTAAATATGCAGCAGTCCCACGTAGTGGACCAGTTTCATCACCTTGAGTACAAATCATCATTTGACAGATATTAGCTGTTTTGTAGAAATTCTTTTTATCTGTAGTCTTCAAGGATTCTATTATGCATGGGAGATCCATAATCTGACCTTGGTAAACTTGACCATTATACCGAACAATTGTATGTCGCATATCAGGTTTGAATTCTACGGTAAAATTTTCCTGAGAAAAATTTTAAAAATATATTTACTTGTGATTTACTGAGAGAAATAACAAAAGAGATCAAACCTGCTGAGTAAATAGTAACAATGAAAAACGCGATACAAAATTGCACTGACCCGATTTATTCAACTGCAATCAGTCGGTCAGTTATAAGCTACGTACAAGCCCGGATTTATGTACACCAGGTCAAGTTGCTACATTAAATTAGCGCGAGATGAAATTATCAATACAAATCCTAGGGTAGCAGAAGTAGTAACATTATCAATGGCAGTAAAATAAACAAAGACGATACGATTTGAGAAATGATGAAATATCATAGTGAAAGAGTATACGATAATTTCGAAGCTCAGTATCTAAAGGAAATTAAAGATTAGATGTATTCGTAACAATGCAAGTGCTCCTGATCTATGTCACCAAATGTCCCAAACCATTGGTAACGATAATTGAGGGGACTCTGATTCGAAAATATGCACTCACCCACACGGTTGTATCTACCAGTCAATAATTTTACGGGTTAGTCCCGCGCAGCAGTTTGTTGCTCCTTAACTTTCCTCCGACATTTCCGCACAACTTCGTCAACTGATTTGTCATACTCTGCATCTAACCTCATTATTCCTTGCCCGGCAGTCCCAGAATAAACGAGCAATCCTTTAAAACGCATCTATGACCAAATACTAGTAACCAAGGTTTATTTCCCCTCTTTTTCTGGAAGTCACGTTTCGAACTGCTAACATATAACGGAGCAAACTACTGAGCAGTACACTCGTCCTTTGCTCGGAAGGTCATATCAGCTACTAAACTTCACACTAAGGCGATGAGAGCGAATAAAAATAATGAAAGGGATTGAAACCTACTGACATTAATATTATCAAAAAAAGAATACGTGCGAAAAGGTTAGCAAATTTATAAAGTAACGTGGTATTCAATAGTAAGAAGGAAATAAGGGATATTTGAGTTACCATGAATCATCATTTGACCTATCACCTTTGTGTAGAAAAATACTGTAAACAACGATAATGCTTAATTGATGGATTCCCTACACTCCCAAACTTTATAATATCAAATTTTCGATGAAACGCAAATCAAAAGGTTCAATGTATTATCAATATTCATCAATTTTCATCCAATTAAATTCTTGCTTCTCTTTAAAGGGAAGGGTTTGAATAACCCAAGAAATCCTTGTTTCCTCCGAATCCCTTTAGCAATGATAAATTTATTTTATTTTATCTGAACACATGAATATTGGTACAAGAGAGCGCCAATATATATGAGCCACACAAAACAATGAGAATTCGAAGAGAAGTAGAAAAAAAAACTAAGGAGCGCAAAAGAAAAAGAGAACAATGACGAAGAGATTGGAGTAAGGTAGTGTGGTAGTAACGACGGAACGAAAAGGTACAATCAGAAGAAATCTATCAGGTAAAGGAGACACAACCACTTTTATGAAGAAAGTAAAAGAAGGTTACAGCAGGATCGCCACTGGCTTCTATCCTAAGCCATATCTGATAACGTCTCTAGCCACTGTGTTGCACCATCTCTCAGACCCCAACCAGGGAGTCGTGAAGGACCAACACAAGCCAGTCCTTTGCAGCTTTCTTTCATACCACGACACCATGTCATGCACTGACCACCTCTCCGCTTCTTCCAACCAGTCCCAGAGTCGGCAAATAGTGCACGACGTGGAATCCTCTGGGACGACATTCGTAGAACATGTCCAAGCCACCGAGGTCGGTGTTTCAAGATGGTGATACGAAGGCGCCAAAGGTGGCCCAGATTGGCATAAACCGCTCTGTCTTTCACTATTCGTGCATTGATCTCATCACTCACACCCCCACCAGCACTTATGCAGCTACCCAGATACACGAACCTCTCAACTACGTCTATCTGCTCACCATCCAGGGTGAGTACAGGATTTGAATCCTGCCAGTCTTGTAGAAGTACTTCGCACTTCGAAGGTGCAAAGCACATACCATACCTACAGACACTGATTCCCAACTGATTACGTGCGGATTGCATGCCTCGGGCATTATCGCACAGTAAGACAATATCGTCCGCATACTCAAGGTCGAGAAGTCTTTCTCCAGCCAACAGATCCACACCACCATTACTTACATCCATCAGAGCTGTTTCCAGAATGTCATCGATGGCAAAGTTGAAGAGGAATGGTGAGATTGGGCAACCCTGCCTAACCCCACTGCTCGAATGGAACAATGGAGAGAGGTGGTTGTATGCCCTCACTCTGCCTGAGGTGTTTATATAGGGCTTTTAGGATAATAATAAACTTCTCAGGCACACCCTTCTTCAATAGACAATCCCAGAGAACAGTCCTATCCAACGAATCGAAGGCAGCCCTGATGTCAAGAAACACTACGATTGTTGGCCTTTGAAAATTATGGCGATGTTCTAACATTTGGCGGAGGGTGAAGATATGATCAATACATCCTCGACCAGAACGAAACCCAGCCTGCTCCTCGAGAGTCAATCTTTCTCGGGTTTTGAACAATCTACGAAGTATGACGGAAGCCAATAGCTTGGACGCAATCGGAAGTAGACTTATCCCCCGATAGTTGTTACAGGAACGACGTGAACCCTTTTTAAAGATAGAGACAACTATCGACTCATTCCATGACGTTGGTACACTCTCTAGTTCCCAAACCTTTGTAAACAACGTCGTCAATTCCTTAGTCAAAAAGTCACCACCATCTTTAAAAAGAGCCGGAGGTAAGTCATCTGGGCCAGGTGATTTGTAACGCTTCAAGAGTTGGAGTTCCTTGCGGACTTCCGCCTCATTCGGTGGATCAGTCGTCACCGGTCATGGAGGGCGGTGTCGCCGGAGCAGCAGGCCAGTTGAACTGCCCTTCGAAAAATTCTGCCCATCGTCCAAGACGTCGATGGATGTTAGTGATTGGCATCCCATCATCCTCGCAGATTGTTTCATTCACACCAGACTTCTTGCTGCCAGTGGCTCGGATGAGTTGGAGGGGCTTCCGGTAGTTACCAGATGCAGCTGCTGCTTCCAGCTCATTAGCACGCTCCGACCACCAGGCTTCTCGGTCCTTACGCAAGCTTTGCCCAATGATATATATATATATATATATATATATATATATATATATAGAGAGAGAGAGAGAGAGAGAGAGAAAATAAAGATTAGTGGCAATAAACGTTTGTAATTGTGTAGATACTGTAGTCACGATATCTTTTATGGTCGAATAAAACTACCAGAATAAATGACAACAGTAAACGTCTTACAACAAGCTCAGCTAACTTCAGTACAAACCTTAGATTTTCCGCATATAATAATCGAAAATCCACCCCCAAGATGGGTTTTATGATCAGTATACTGTAGATATCATCTTATTGTTATTTATTTATTTATTTATTTAAACACATAAACATTGATACAAGGAGGCACCAAATCCATATGCGCCACATAAATCATTCGATTTGTGTGAGGGTTGGGATACTGCCCAGGTGCCCAGACCGTGTGATAACAATCAATACTTTCATCACAGAGATGACCGCCGTTATTCATTAAAATAGTAGCAACGCACAAAAGTGCACCCATGTTTTGTAAGTAAAGTGCCCATATGAATAAAAAGAAATACATACGTTAACAGAGGAAACGAACGGCTCAGTTTAGTTAACGCTTTTGTTGATACAGGTTTGCAAACTTGTCAGTTGACTATTGTTGTTCAACTGTTTATTGCTCAATAGTGTTTACTCAGTAGTTTATGTGTTGTAAATGTTCTTAAGATAACTAAATATAAGCATTATATATCATTCACCCTCAACAGTTATGCCCTACTACCGTAGGTTAACAAGGAACAGAATGGTAAGCAGTACACTAGACTTATGTAATAGATCTGAGGAACTTCCGTTTTTTTTTACCGAAAATGGAAATAGTAACGTATCACTAGTTTCAAAAATTGCTCATGTTATTTAGATATAACTATCGGATGGATGCTACCTTTCCAAGTTTTACGTAAAGCAACAAAACAATGGTAAATACTGTATTAAGATTACACAGAATATTTGCCTATTCCTGAACTATGATCAGTCAAAATATCCGTAGGGTCACAAGGCTTAGTTTGACTAAAAGCAGAAAAATTGGAGGGACTAGAAAAAACGGTGAGACTATAATTTATGGACAACCTTTGAGCAACGCTAAAGAGACCTTGAGAATGTCCACCTACATACTACGGCTAAATGAGGATTATCCCGACCGTAACTGCTACCTTGACGCGGTGGTCCGGCTTGCCTATCGTGATGACCTAACCGAGCTATATTGGCTGGAAGATATGTTCCTGTATGTTCTACCATGCCAGGCAGGTCGATTGGAGAACGCTAAGACTAAAAGCAGCAACTCAAGGTCTGAGGGCGAAGTCGTTCTGCTGACTGTAGAGCGGTATGACAGCAGTAAGGTGTTTCACTCGGACAACCAGCATCTGCAGCGACGCTGCCTTCTCACAAGGAAGGAAGGGGTTAGAAAAGGTTGACCCTAAAAATGTCACATCTCACGGATTTCCGTTTCCGAGGGCAAGGCCCTTTGAAGAACGGAGCTAACACATTAAAAACCTGCGCAACCGGTCTCAAGCAGTTGTCCCTTGGGCTCTGCGGTCACGCTCCCAGGTCGTTAAGACCAACATTAATCCAACTCCCTTTTCAGGTTCCTCAAGAAATACCCCTCCACGGTGAGGGTAGCCCTCATACCCGTAACAGCACACGAGACCAAGTTGGTCACATTCAAATCCTTCCTACACCTACTAATACCACTTTTATCTCCCCGACTAACTCTTCTCACCCTTTATCACCTCGCACCTCTAGGACAGACGATTCGCGTACGCGGAACGTTATTCCTGGTCTCCTGAAACTACGCTCTAAACTACACGTAGGAGCTTTTAACGTTCGAACACTGTGCCAAATAGGACAATAGGCTTCCTTAGCTAGGACTTTAGAATCTCGCGCCATCGGTGTGCTGCGTCTACGAAACGCGCATACAGGATCCGAGTAGCGTCATTCATTTGACCTCACTATGTCAAAATAAAGAACCAAGACGATTCACAATTCGTATATCTGGAAGTCTTGATGCTGCTTCCTGTGGCTTCGCTGGCGTAGACATAGCATTGAGTCCTAAGGCAGAACTAGCTCTCTTAGACTGGATCCCAGTAGACAGTCGTTTGTGCGCTATCCAACTAAACGGAACACTAAGGACTCGGAAAGATAAGGACACTTGTCGCTGCCTCTTCGTCCTCTCTGCCTACTCTCCCACTGACTGCAGCTCAGATGATGTAAAAGATGAGTTTTACAGAAAGCTTTCCGACCTTCTCCGAAAAGCTAGACGCTCTGATGTCGTGATAGTGACTGGTGGCTTTAATGCTCAAGTAGGTAAACTAAGCGAAAGGGAAAGACACCCGGGTGGATCTTATAGCATCGTGGCTCAAAGAACATATAATGGCGACTGTCTGTTGCAGCTATGCTCAGATAACCGCCTGTTCCTTGCAAATACTAACTTTAAGCATAAGGAAAAACATCTTTTAGCATGGCGACCCCCTAATTTGTCACAACGTTGGACCCAAATACATCACATCGCTATCAGCCACCGATGGAGGGGCTCGATAGAAGACTGTCGCTCATTCTGGAGCACATGCTTAGATTCAGATCATGCTCTAGTGCGAGCGCGTATTTGCTTGCGTCTTACTGGATGTAGGATAAACGCTGCAAGGAAACCTCTTAGAGGCCTACCTAATGATAGTCAAGCTAAGAGTATATTTCAGGAACAACTAGGAAAACAGTTAGGCAGCCATGTATGTGATGCCCACCCCGATGCAGCTTGGAACGATATCCGAAAAGCTGTGGAAACAGCAGTGATATCTGCTAGTACGGTAACCCGTAAGGTTAGGCAGCAATACTGGATCTCAACAGCATCTATCGCACTGATAGATGCTCGGAAACTCACTCCACCTGGCTCTGAACATAATGAAGAGCGGAGTCAGCTTAAGCACAAGCTGACGAGAAGTCTACGCAATGATCGCGAACAGTGGTGGGTAGCGAAAGCAAGAGAGATGGAAAAAGCAGCGGTAATAGGTAATGGCAGACAACTGTCTGAACTTGTTAAGGAAACCGGAATTAGGAACCCGACCGTTAGCGAAACAATCTCAGAGAAAGATGGACATATTATTCATTCTCATTTCAGGAGGTCGGATCGATGGGCAGAACACTTTAGGGATCAGTTCAACTGGCCTTCAGCCACACTTCGGTTTCCCACGATCTCCAGTCGATCTGAATAGCAAGTTAATGTAAGTCATCCGTCCCTTTACGAAGTTGAAAAAGCCATAGGAAATCTGAAACGAGGGAGAGCAGCAGGCCCTGACAGGTTTACTCCTGAGATTTTTAAGGATGGTGGTCCAGTATTAGCAGTGAGATTAACTGAGGTCTTAGGTAGAATTTGGGAACTGGACGTAATCCCATCGGACTGGTCTCAATCACTGATTGTGCCAGTCTATAAGAAAGGACAAAAGTCCTCTTGTGACAATCACAGAGGAATCAGTTTGACTAATATAGTGTCTAAAATATTAGCTTGAATAATACTTCGACACTCAACCAAAGCTCGTGAAGAACAGACTAGAGAAAACCAGGCTAGTTTTCGACCTGGACGGGGTTGTATAGACCAGATATTCACACTACGTCAGGTTCTAGAACACAGACACACATTCAGTCGTCCCACAATCGTAGTATTTCTCGACCTTAAAGCACCATTCGACTTTGTTGATCGTGAGGTCCTGTGGCAGTGTTTGTCACTGAATGGAGTACCAAAGAAGTACATTAACCTTATAAAGGCTCTCTACTCAAACACAACTGGTAGAGTGAGAGCTTATGGCGAACTGTCATCAGAATTGATTACCTCAAGTGGTGTTCGTCAGGGCTGCCCACTCTCTCTATTCTTGTTTAACTTTGTCATTGACGTGCTTTTAGAGATAACACTTTCCTCATCTAAATTTCTAGGAGTTGAACTCCTACCGGGAGTTTCACTCGTTGACTTAGAATATGCTGATGACATAGTTTTACTTGGTGAAGACGCTGACAAAATGCAGAGTCTTCTGACCACTCTAAGCAACAATGCAAGCATGTTCGGGATGCGATTCTCCCCCTCGAAATGCAAAATGTTGCTTCAGGATTGGGTTGCATTGACACCCGAACTAGTGATAGGGAGTGAAGTAATTGAGCGTGTCGATCGCTTCACTTATCTTGGAAGTCTCATCAGCCCTTGTGGTCTGGTGTGTGACGAAATCTCAGCACGGATACAGAAGGCTCGACTAGCTTTTGCCAACTTGCGTCATTTATGGCGTACGCGAGATATCAGTCAATCAACCAAAGGACGGGTTTACTGCGCAGCAGTTCGTTCCGTCCTACTTTATGGCAGTGAAACATGGCCGCAAGAGTAGAAGATATTCGTAGGTTACTAGTATTTGATCATAGGTGTCTTCGAAACATTGCTCGTTTATTCTAGGACAACCGAGTAAGTAATGTAGTTGTTAGGAAACCGGTACTAGGTAAGAATGGAAAATCGGTTGATGAAGTAGTGAAACTTCATCAGTTGAGATGGCTGGGATACATGTTACGTATGCCCAACCACCGACTGCCTCGACGTGCTATGCTCAGTGGTATGGGAGTAGGTTGGAAGAAAGATAGGGGCGGCTAGACCAATACATGACACGAATCCATGAAGTCATTGACAAGTGGACTGAGTCATGTTCGTAGGTGTAGACTACCTGGTTGGGATCCACGAGATGATAGCAACCGATGGTAAGAGACCTTGAATGGTATGGCTCAAAATCGTTTACAATGGTGCAGGTGCATCCACAATTTGTGTTCTCCTAAATTCTAATATACTGAATTCTTCATGTCCTTTAATTTCTTTCCAAGTTTATTTCACTGGATTATACTCCCTGAATAACATCTACCAACCTTAATATTTCCAATTAGTGCTTATAATCTTACTAGTTCTACCACTACAGGATTTGAATGTACAACTGCATCTCTGTGATAACGTGGTATGGCAACTAGAACTGATGTACGAACGTATGAAGATCCACGTTGTTACTGACGGACTGACTGAAATGAGGATTATAAACCAGCTTAAGGATTTAGGACTAATATTTACAATTGATGGTTAGGGTTAAGAATCAGATATATATTTTCCATCACCAACTGACATCAGCTATAATGCCAAAACTCTATATAGCCAAATGGATGAGTGAATTTGCGCCAAAACTCAAGATCCGTTATCTTAGATCTGATTGGTTCGTCCATAAATTATAGTCTCGCCGAGAAGTTTTTCATTGAAAATACAGACAAAGTGGTAACCAAATATTTCGGATGAGTTGACGGTAAAATTTCAGAGTTCGGTTCCATAAATGGATTGTATAGTGGACCGCCCGATGATCACTTCCTTAGAAATATTCTTGCCAAATACAAGGATTATGAGGACTTGTCTGGTGAAAACACAAAATGATGTAGGCAACAACTTTCGAATAATTTAATACGAAACGAGAGCATAAAATATATGAAAAACAAACAAGAAACCTAAGGAATGTGATTGAACGACTCCAAATGTTATTCACGGCAAACCACTCACATACATGAGTGGCGATATCATCATAACATACAGATATAGCAATCAAACGAATAGTGCAGAAATTCGGATCTAATAAGATATTAAATAGAGTATAAAGGCTAGAATGAAAAGCCAAAATAACCATCCACAAACATTTGCAAATGTTTGTGTATAAGATTTTAAAAAATTAATAAGCAATTTTTCAACAAACCTTGAAAGGTATGCCAGCATCGATATCGGCTGCCAGATTTTGAGCAGCAACTGTGTCTGTCATCCGAAGGATGAACTGTTGTTCTAAATCATAGTTAGTATCTAAAGGCAGTTTTGCATTCATCTTTGGGACGTAGCCGGTATATTATACAGCGCTCTCTACATTCAATATCCAATACCTGTTACGCGGGCGTGTTACGGTGCATAACAGTAAATGAACCTCAAAAATAAATATTTCAGTGAGTCCTCAGCATAATGGCTCGTTTCATTAGTTTTATTGGACACACCCTGGCTGAAAACACTTGGTCAAGTGTTCAGACCTGACGACCGCTTTTTACGCAATGTTACTTAATCATTGGGATTACTAGCCAGCTTATGTAAGACACTTCTCAGCATTTCGCCAAACTTCCACATGCATTTTTGAACTCATTACTCCCTGATTTATGGTTTGGTTGGTTGGTATCCTACGATTTTAAACGGGTTACAAATAAAGGCGTTATCAAAGCCCAAATGTCTAAAACATCTTTACAAGCTACTTTGTTTACAGGCCTTAAGATCTGGGTAAAATTCAACAGAATACAAATGCAAATCGTTTTTCTGGAAAAACCACGGTGTAAATTCTAGCAAATCAAATATCTTTTAGTAACATGCCGGTTTCTTGATCTTAAAATGAAGTCATCGTGCGTCGTCTCTGATTTCTCTCATTTCCTAAGCAGATTCTTTTAAGACCATGATTTCTTCATGGAACTTTGAACACTATGTAGTTTGTTAACTGTCCTCACCGGATGGGTTTCTTTTTAACGTAATTCTCGTGGCTTTAAATGTACTTTATGAGATTTCTTACTGTATTAATTGAAAGTCTGCTTCACTCCTGATTGTACCCGAGCAATATTATGATATCTCAGCATATTCCGTCTAAGCTTTAAGACCACGTATGATACTGATTGGTGATCTTTTAGCTTAGGGACGAGGAATCCGGTAAGCCAGGTGTTTTCGAGCGCATATTGACGCTGATTTTTTGTGTCTTTATTTATCAACTATTAACAGCCTTTTTTCCGTCACACGTCAATTTTCGTAATGTTTGTGCTTGGTACATAGCTTTTACTCCAGTTTATTGGTAGTTTGACGTATTTATTGCTCACAACCTGAGTGAATGTTTGGTCAGTCTAATGTGGTTATTTGTAACAATACCAACTCAAGCATGTAAAACTCATCATTTTTCAAGTAAAAAAATTGATTACAAATTGAGTTTTCCGGACAATATGCTTTAAAACCTTTAACATCTGGTATACCTTGATTATGGTGATGATGAACATGGATGTTGGTAGTTGTTTATGAAATGTAGGTAGAAGCAATTAAGCGTTAATCTATTTATGAATATTATATAACTCGCTAATTCTTAGCCATAAACAGCTATATCCACTATAAGTATCATCGTTTTGTACTGAAGGGACATATTATTATGTAACGCATCTGAGAAGAATTATGTGAGTAACAATTGACGTTGATAGTCTTTTCCATCTGCTTTCTGAACGCATGGAGGAAAAGTGTATGGCACCACTGGAAGTGCCACATAAAGTAGTCACAAAGTCTTCATAAGTAAAACGATGTGTGTTTCTTTTGAGCATGGTGACAAAACCATGTTGTAGTTAATACTGATTTATGATGTGTCTGTTATACGGTTTACGAATAAGTTTCTGTAAACAGAATCCGCAATCACTGACCAAATTATGAACAAAGTTATAATGCATATTGTCGAGTTATATCTAAATAGTGCTTACCAATTTTTTTGTTGATATCAAATGTCTAGGTGAAATAGTAGAATGGTTAGAAAATGAAGAGAGCTGTTTACATGAAATAAGAAACTTATAGGTTATTTGTAGCATGCTAGTGAAGTCAAAAATAGACTGAAATCAGAGTTTTACGCAGAAGTGAGCTGTAAAACCAATAACATTTCATTCACTTTCGTAATGATGGTAGTATCGAACTTGGATGTTCATAGCTGCCTGCAAAATATAGGTTGAATCAAGGAACTGTGTATAACATTACTATAAGTGCCACATTAATGAGTCACATTTTCTTCATAAGTGGAACAAAGTGTGTATGTTGTGAGCATAGTAACTAAAGCAAGTTGTAATTAACACTAATTTATGATGTGTCTGTTATAAAGATTACTAATTAATTTCTATTAATGAAATCCGAAATCTCTAATGAATAGCACTACTTACAAGAGACTTATAGGTACATTCTGTTACCTGCTGTTTGATTGAGTTATTGAATTTGATGCCGATAACAAAGTCTAATGGTTTGTCTCAAGACCGATTTGTTGTTTTTCGGAATTGTATGAAGCTTATGGAAGATCATGTGGAAAACCAGTTTACAAGTTTACGATAACTGTGTTTAATATTGCCTACTGCTATGTTCATTCATCTAATGAATTATGTAAATATAATCCACAGCGGCCTGCTTGAGCATCTGGGCTACCTGTTCCTGCCATCTAGATGTTTCAACAAGTGATCTATTTTTGTTTGTTTTAATATATGATTATGTTTATTAATCGCATAACCTATTCTGCTGCGTTTCTGAAAAGTGTACAATCTTTCGTTGTCAAAGTTACAAAACACTCAATAAGAGACTATGTGATTGCTGGCAATATACAACGAAAAGAATGTACATTATTCAGAAGTTCATTTACTGGACTGTTAACATCTAATTGGCGATCACTCAATATTTATCGCCAGGACCGACCAAGAAGAAAGAAACGGAAACTTGCTGAAATACTTTACGCTGAGAATTTTATATTGTACCAAAAATATAATATTGAATGAAGCTGACAATAGTAATAATGATAATAAATAAAATATAACAACCATACCCAGTGTTTTACATTATAAATCCTGTAAGTATGCATAATTATAGTCTACATAACACCAGAACAAATACTGATGCAGAATAATATGACTGCATCACATTTCGTGGTTTCTCGTAAGCTGCATACAACCAAACATGTATTAGAATTTAACATTGAGGCAAGAAATAGTATGAAACAATTGACATAAAAGAAATTAAAGAATTAGAATGACCTAGGTTATCAATAGTAACTATATATATATATGTGCAAGAACAGGTCAAAGGTTATTTGGTGTTGGAATCAAGGAAACATTAAGGATGGGTGGTGTAATAGTCAGACACAGATAAAATAAATTGTGTGACAATCTTAGATGTAATAAAGGAATCATGGAATGAAAAACTGATAAGATAATTGAATAGAATTTGAAGAGTTTACATAATTTAAGTCGATCAAATGAGCAAAACAGTGATTGAAAGGAGGTCCAAGAATTTGCTAATGGAAGAGGAATATTACACAATTTTCTTCCAATTATTACCTGATCCATCTTATCAGGGAACAAGCTGCATGAAATCATTGCCTAGTTCGGTACTAATACTAATTTGATATTAGACCTAATCCGACAACTGTAAATGTGTCATGTGGTTGTCTAATCTGTGAGATTTTATGCGAAAGTCGCTTCACTGTGTAAAATGAATCGACGTCTTGTCACAATTAACAATGACATAACGCTATGATCTAATGAAACTTTGAAACTGATGCAGTAGTACAAGTTCATGATTCTCACAGACAGTTGCTCGTTAACACTATTGGTATACCACCCCAATAAAGTGAGAAGAAGAGGAAAATAAAAATTAATATTGATAATTCCTAAAAAATAATTGTTGACGTTTTTCTCAACTTTCATCATGAAACGTTTACCATATTTCTCAATTGCGTTGTCTGTGAAGTCTTTGGTGTCGAAGAATCCTTATATACTCAACACTCGGTCTCCGTAATGAACGTTTTGTGTTGTTTCGTAAGTTCCACGTATTATCTAACTTCCATCTAGTACAATGCCTAAGAATTTGATGGGCTATACAGTTTGCATTTCGTATTTGATTAGACTTTCCCGTAATAGTTCATCATTTAACATAAGCTAGTAGCATATGGCGACAAGGATATTGACACGTCTGCACGCGTGAAATTTTGCGTCCAAGCAAACATAACAGGACATCCTCGACCAAAATTATCCGTCACTACAAACAGGAATAAAGAATATCTGCAAAGTGCAATAAAGAAAGCATAATCACTTTTTATTAATGGTATTGTAAGTAGAATCTATGCAAACAACTTTGGGAAATTTATTGTGCAACTGTGTTTGCTCATGAGTGCTGAAGCAAATCCTTGTCACATATCTGTTTCCATAATGCTCTTTCACTTCACTATTTTGTCGCAACATATACACCACTTGCTTTCGCGTCATATAACTTGAAATATACTTGTATACACTTACCTGTGGAGATTTTAGCTTTCACAGTCTTCATATCGTCAGCAGTGACCTGCTTACCAGTCCTATCCTTGATAACAGACAAGCATGACATTGATCACCACCCAGTGATCAGTCAATTGTGATTACATCTCAGTCCTACATGAGGTTAGTCACGGCTCCGATAGCTTTTCGTGCCTTAAGGTAACCCTCGTGCTATTGATAGAAGAAATCAGACAAGTAGTGAATAGGTCTTTATTTCGATCTTCGCGCAGTCACAGTGGAGCGTGGGATTATCTGTTCAGACAAACAAAGGCTCTCAACATTCAAGATAATAGGGAATATAACGCTTATAAAAAATAAGGAAGTGAATGAATACTTGAACAATACTGTTTTGGCATAAGCTTGGTTGTTTGGGGTCAACTCTTAACCAACCAACCTGAGCTGTTACATTAGCTTCCCCCTAGAATCGACTTCCGTAGGAACGTCGGTTCGATTAACCTAACTATCGAAAACGCCTTAGTTCTATTTCTCATCCCAAGGGAAAATTATCAACTCGCTCACTATTTGACTTACAATCAGTGACGACTAACGCTGTCAACGATAGTCCATGGATGTCTCCTCATTTACTAGCTTGTCATCTTATTTTGTAGCATGTGATCTATTCTACAACTATCGCTGACGGTTTACTGCGTGCTTTCAAGAGAAAGAGTGTGAGAATGTGGAATAAGAATATCTGAGGAAGTGCCGCGTTTCTCAGGCCGAATGGCATGCGTACAAACTCGAATAAGCCAAAGGGGGTAGTAATAGCTGTCTTGGGAATATCTTCATCAGCCACCGGGATATTGTGATATGCCC